CAGTGGTCCTTTTCAGCTGCTCCACGAGCGCAGGAAATGTTCACCAAGGGGCGCAGAGCAGCATCCATTCCAGAAAAAGAGCTAAAATACGAGTGAGACTGCATGACTGAGTACATGAGTACATGAATGAGTACATGCAGAAAATAGTCAATTTCAGCGTTTCTGCTCCAAACCGCAACTAGCTTCGACTAGAAACAAAGATTACACCAAAGGATCAAACAACAACCATTTTCTGCAGTTTTTTTGCAGATGGCTTCTTTGTGCTTGGCCCAGCACGTCAAAAATCACACCTCGGAGGAGTACAAAAATTACAACTCTCAGATGTCCTCGATTGCTGGCCATGATCTTGTTGTTTGGCTGGACATAGGGAAGTGAACCAAGAAAAATTCCACATTTCAATAACCAACTCGCCCAGGGCTGCTCAAAGCTGATATCAAACTATCTCGAAGTTTTGGGACTTTTTGCCCGTGATTCTTCACTTTGCGACTAATCTATTCACAGCAGTGCCAAATTTTAAGCGTCACTGAATGCGAGTGCGAGCGGCCTACAAGCAAACCAAAAATCAAATCAATGCGTCCACTCAGATCACAGCTGGGTCATGTTATAGAGAGGTACGTTGAAAGTGACACGTGGGCACAAATGGACAAAAAGCGACAATTTCTCACCTTTCTGCCCGTTCGAAGCTCAAGAACTGACCATAGCCACCCTGATCTTGTTGTTTGGCTGGATATAGGGAAGTGAACCAAGAAAAAATTCCACATTTCAATAAACAACTCGCCCAGGGCTGCTCAAAGCTGATATCAAACTATCTCGAAGTTTTGGGACTTTTTGCCCGTGATTCTTCACTTTGCGACTAATCTATTCACAGCAGTGCCAAATTTTAGGCGTCACTGAATGCGGGTGGCAGCGGCCTACAAGCAAACAAAAAAATCAAATCAATGCGACCACTCACATCACAGCTGGGTCATGTTATAGAGGTGCGTTGAAAGTGACACGTGGGTACAAATGGGCAAAATGCGACAATTTGTCACCTTTCTGCCCGTTCGAAGCTCAAGAACTGACCATAGCCACCCTGATCTTGTTGTTTGGCTAGACATAGGGAAGTGCACCAAGAAAAAATTCCACATTTCAATAAACAACTCGCCCAGGGCTGCTCAAAGCTGATATCAAACTATCTCGAAGTCTTGGGCCTTTTTGCCCGTGATTCTTCACTTTGCGACTAATCTATTCACAGCAGTGCCAAATTTTAAGCGTCACTGAATGCGGGTGGCAGCGGCCTACAAGCAAACCAAAAATCAAATCAATGCGACCACTCACATCACAGCTGGGTCATGTTATAGAGAGGTACGTTGAAAGTGACACGTGGGCACAAATGGGCAAAAAGCGACAATTTGTCACCTTTCTGCCCGTTCGAAGCTCAAGAACTGACCATAGCCACCCTCATCTTGTTGTTTGGCTGGACATAGGGAAGTGAACCAAGAAAAAATTCCACATTTCAATAAACAACTCGTCCAGGGCTGCTCAAAGCTGATATCAAACTATCTCGAAGTTTTGGGCCTTTTTGCCCGTGATTCTTCACCTTGCGACTAATCTATTCACAGCAGTGCCAAATTTTAGGCGTCACTGAATGCGGGTGGCAGCGGCCTACAAGCAAACAAAAAAATCAAATCAATGCGACCACTCACATCACAGCTGGGTCATGTTATAGAGGTGCGTTGAAAGTGACACGTGGGTACAAATGGGCAAAAAGCGACAATTTGTCACCTTTCTGCCCGTTCGAAGCTCAAGAACTGACCATAGCCACCCTGATCTTGTTGTTTTGCTGGACATAGGGAAGTGAACCAAGGAAAATGTCCACATTTCAATAAACAACTCGCCCAGGGCTGCTCAAAGCTGATATCAAACTATCTCGAAGTTTTGGGCCTTTTTGCCCGTGATTCTTCACTTTGCGACTAATCTATTCACAGCAGTGCCAAATTTTAAGCGTCACTGAATGCGGGTGGCAGCGGCCTACAAGCAAACCAAAAATCAAATCAATGCGACCACTCACATCACAGCTGGGTCATGTTATAGAGAGGTACGTTGAAAGTGACACGTGGGCACAAATGGGCAAAAAGCGACAATTTGTCACCTTTCTGCCCGTTCGAAGCTCAAGAACTGACCATAGCCACCCTGATCTTGTTGTTTGGCTAGACATAGGGAAGTGCACCAAGAAAAATTCCACATTTCAATAAACAACTCGCCCAGGGCTGCTCAAAGCTGATATCAAACTATCTCGAAGTTTTGGGCCTTTTTGCCCATGATTCTTCACTTTGCGACTAAACTATTCACAGCAGTGCCAAATTTTAAGCGTCACTGAATTGCGGGTGGCAGCGGCCTACAAGCAAACCAAAAATCAAATCAATGCGACCACTCACATCACAGCTGGGTCATGTTATAGAGAGGTACGTTGAAAGTGACACGTGGGCACAAATGGGCAAAAAGCGACAATTTGTCACCTTTCTGCCCGTTCGAAGCTCAAGAACTGATCATAGCCACCCTGATCTTGTTGTTTGGCTGGACATAGGGAAGTGCACCAAGAAAAAATTCCACATTTCAATAAACAACTCGCCCAGGGCTGCTCAAAGCTGATATCAAACTATCTCGAAGTTTTGGGCCTTTTTGCCCGTGATTCTTCACTTTGCGACTAATCTATTCACATCAGTGCCAAATTTTAAGCGTCACTGAATGCGGGTAGCAGCGGCCTACAAGCAAACCAAAAATCAAATCAATGCGACCACTCACATCACAGCTGGGTCATGTTATAGAGAGGTACGTTGAAAGTGACACGTGGGCACAAATGGGCAAAAAGCGACAATTTGTCACCTTTCTGCCCGTTCGAAGCTCAAGAACTGACCATAGCCACCCTGATCTTGTTGTTTGGCTGGACATAGGGAAGTGAACCAAGAAAAAATTCCACATTTCAATAAACAACTCGCCCAGGGCTGCTCAAAGCTGATATCAAACTATCTCGAAGTATTAGGCCTTTTTGCCCGTGATTCTTCACTTTGCGACTAATCTATTCACAGCAGTGCCAAATTTTAGGCGTCACTGAATGCGGGTGGCAGCGGCCTACAAGCAAACAAAAAAATCAAATCAATGCGACCACTCACATCACAGCTGGGTCATGTTATAGAGGTGCGTTGAAAGTGACACGTGGGTACAAATGGGCAAAAAGCGACAATTTGTCACCTTTCTGCCCGTTCGAAGCTCAAGAACTGACCATAGCCACCCTGATCTTGTTGTTTGGCTAGACATAGGGAAGTGCACCAAGAAAAAATTCCACATTTCAATAAACAACTCGCCCAGGGCTGCTCAAAGCTGATATCAAACTATCTCGAAGTTTTGGGCCTTTTTGCCCATGATTCTTTCACTTTGCGACTAAACTATTCACAGCAGTGCCAAATTTTAAGCGTCACTGAATGCGGGCGGCAGTGGCCTACAAGCAAACCAAAAATCAATTCAATGCGACCACTCACATCACAGCTGGGTCATGTTATAGAGAGGTACGTTGAAAGTGACACGTGGGCACAAATGGGCTAAAAGCGAAAAGTTCTCACCTTTCTGCCCGTTCGAAGCTCAAGAACTGACCATAGCCACCCTGATCTTGTTGTTTTGCTGGACATAGGGAAGTGAACCAAGGAATATGTCCACATTTCAATAAACAACTCGCCCAGGGCTGCTCAAAGCTGATATCAAACTATCTCGAAGTTTTGGGCCTTTTTGCCCGTGATTCTTCACTTTGCGACTAATCTATTCACAGCAGTGCCAAATTTTAGGCGTCACTGAATGCGGGTGGCAGCGGCCTACAAGCAAACCAAAAATCAAATCAATGCGACCACTCACATCACAGCTGGGTCATGTTATAGAGGTACGTTGAAAGTGACACGTGGGTACAAATGGGCAAAAAGCGACAATTTGTCACCTTTCTGCCCGTTCGAAGCTCAAAAACTGACCATAGCCACCCTGATCTTGTTGTTTGGCTGGACATAGGGAAGTGCACCAAGAAAAAATTCCACATTTCAATAAACAACTCGCCCAGGGCTGCTCAAAGCTGATATCAAACTATCTCGAAGTTTTGGGCCTTTTTGCCTGTGATTCTTCACTTTGCGACTAAACTATTCACAGCAGTGCCAAATTTTAGGCGTCACTGAATGCGGGTGCCAGCGGCCTACAAGCAAACCAAAAATCAAATCAATGCGACCACTCACATCACAGCTGGGTCATGTTATAGAGAGGTACGTTGAAAGTGACACGTGGGCACAAATGGGCAAAAAGCGACAATTTGTCACCTTTCTGCCCGTTCGAAGCTCAAGAACTGACCATAGGCCCCTGATCTTGTTCTTTGGCTGGACATAGGGAAGTGCACCAAGAAAAAATTCCACATTTCAATAAACAACTCGCAACAGGGCTGCTCAAAGCTGATATCAAACTATCTCGAAGTTTTGGGCCTTTTTGCCCGTGATTCTTCACTTTGCGACTAAACTATTCACAGCAGTGCCAAATTTTAGACGTCACTGAATGCGGGCGCCGGCGGCCTACAAGCAAACCAAAACTCAAAACAATGCGACAACTCACATCACAGCTGGGTCATGTTATAGAGAGGTACGTTGAAAGTGACACGTGGGTACAAATGGGCAAACAGCGACAATTTCTCACCTTTCTGCCCGTTCGAAGCTCAAAAACTGACCATAGCCACCCTGATCTTGTTGTTTGGCTGGACATAGGGAAGTGCACCAAGAAAAAATTCCACATTTCAATAAACAACTCGCCCAGGGCTGCTCAAAGCTGATATCAAACTATCTCGAAGTTTTGGGCCTTTTTGCCTGTGATTCTTCACTTTGCGACTAAACTATTCACAGCAGTGCCAAATTTTAGGCGTCACTGAATGCGGGTGCCAGCGGCCTACAAGCAAACCAAAAATCAAATCAATGCGACCACTCACATCACAGCTGGGTCATGTTATAGAGAGGTACGTTGAAAGTGACACGTGGGCACAAATGGGCAAAAAGCGACAATTTGTCACCTTTCTGCCCGTTCGAAGCTCAAGAACTGACCATAGGCCCCTGATCTTGTTCTTTGGCTGGACATAGGGAAGTGCACCAAGAAAAAATTCCACATTTCAATAAACAACTCGCAACAGGGCTGCTCAAAGCTGATATCAAACTATCTCGAAGTTTTGGGCCTTTTTGCCCGTGATTCTTCACTTTGCGACTAAACTATTCACAGCAGTGCCAAATTTTAGACGTCACTGAATGCGGGCGCCGGCGGCCTACAAGCAAACCAAAACTCAAAACAATGCGACAACTCACATCACAGCTGGGTCATGTTATAGAGAGGTACGTTGAAAGTGACACGTGGGCACAAATGGGCAAAATGCGACAATTTCTCACCTTTCTGCCCGTTCGAAGCTGAAGAACTGACCATAGCCACCCTGACCTTGTTGTTTGGCTGGACATAGGGAAGTGCACCAAGAAAAAATTCCACATTTCAATAAACAACTCGCCCAGGGCTGCTCAAAGCTGATATCAAACTATCTCGAAGTTTTGGGCCTTTTTGCCCGTGATTCTTCACTTTGCGACTAAACTATTCACAGCAGTGCCAAATTTTAGGCGTCACTGGATGCGGGTGCCAGCGGCCTACAAGCAAACCAAAAATAAAATCAATGCGACCACTCACATCACAGCTGAGTCATGTTATAGAGAGGTACGTTGAAAGTGACACGTGGGCACAAATGGACAAAAAGCGACAATTTGTCACCTTTCTGCCCGTTCGAAGCTCAAGAACTGACCATAGCCACCCTGATTTTGTTGTTTGGCTGGACATAGGGAAGTGCACCAAGAAAAAATTCCACATTTCAATAAACAACTCGCCCAGGGCTGCTCAAAGCTGATATTAAACTATCTCGAAGTTTTGGGCCATTTTGCCCGTGATTCTTCACTTTGCGACTAAACTATTCACAGCAGTGCCAAATTTTAGACGTCACTGAATGCGGGTGCCGGCGGCCTACAAGCAAACCAAAAATCAAATCAATGCGACCACTCACATCACAGCTGGGTCATGTTATAGAGAGGTACGTTGAAAGTGACACGTGGGCAGAAATGGGCAAAATGCGACAATTTCTCACCTTTCTGCCCGTTCGAAGCTGAAGAACTGCCCATAGCCACCCTGATCTTGTGGTTTGGCTGGACATAGGGAAGTTAACCAAGACAAAATTCCACATTTCAATAAACAACTCGCAACAGGGCTGCTCAAAGCTGATATCAAACTATCTCGAAGTTTTGGGCCTTTTTGCCCGTGATTCTTCACTTTGCGACTAATCTATTCACAGCAGTGCCAAATTTTAGGCGTCACTCACATCACAACTGGGTCATGTTGTAGAGAGGTACGTTGAAAGTGACACGTGGGCACTAATGGGCAAAAAGCGACAATTTCTCACCTTTCTGCCCGTTCGAAGCTCATGAACTGACCATAGGCACCCTGATCTTGTTGTTTGGCTGGACATAGGGAAGTGAACCAAGAAAAAATTCCACATTTCAATAAACAACTCGCCCAGGGCTGCTCAAAGCTGATATCAAACTATCTCGAAGTTTTGGGCCTTTTTGCCTGTGATCCTTCACTTTGCGACTAATCTATTCACAGCAGTGTCAAATTTTCGTAATCACTGAATGCAGGTGCCAACGGCCTACAAGCAAACAACAAATCAAATCAATGCGACTACTCACATCACAGCTGGGTCATGTTATAGAGAGGTACGTTGAAAGTGACACTTGGGCACAATTGGGCGAAAAGCGACAATTTCTCACCTTTCTGCCCGTTCAAAGCTCATGAACTGACCATAGCCACCCTGATCTTGTTGTTTGGCTGGATATAGGGAAGTGCACAAAGAAAAAATTCCACATTTCAATAAACAACTCGCCCAGGGCTGCTCAAAGCTGATATCAAACTATCTCGATGTTTTGGGCCTTTTTGCCCGTGATTCTTCACTTTGCGACTAATCTATTCACAGCAGTGCCAAATTTTCGCCGTCACTGAATGCGGGTGCCAGCGGCCTACAAGCAAACCAAAAATGAAACCAAAGCGACCACTGAAAATACAGCTGGGTCATGTTATAGAGAGGTACGTTGAAATTGAAAGGTCAGCACAAATGGTCAAAATCCGACATATTCTAACCTTTCTGCCCGTTCGCAGCTCAGAAAATGACAATGACCATCCTCATCTCGTTGTGTAGCTGGACATAGAAAATAGCACCATGAAAAAGAGCCACATTTCTCTAAAGAACTCACCCAGGGCTGCTGAAAGCTGAAAAAGAACCTATGTAGAAGTTTGGGGCTTTTTACTCGTGAATCTTCACTTTGCGACTAAACAATTCCCAGCAGTGCCAAATTTTCTGGGTCACTGAATGCAGGTGCCAGCGCCCTACAAGCACACCAAAAATGTAACCAATGCGACCACTGAAAATACAGCTGGGTCATGTTCGCAGCTCAGAAAATGACAATGACCATCCTCATCTCGTTGTGTAGCTGGAAATAGAAAATAGCACCATGAAAAAGAGCCACATTTCTCTAAAGAACTCACCCAGGGCTGCTGAAATTTTTGAGCTGCGAACTGGCAGAAAGGTGAGAAAATGTCGGATTTTGACCATTTGTGCTGACCTTTCAATTTCAACGTACCTCTCTGTAACATGACCCAGCTGTAATGTCAGCGGTCGCATTGGTTTCATTTTTGGTTTGCTTGTAGGGCGCTGGCACCCGCATTCAGTGACCTAGAAAATTTGGCACTGCTGTGAACAGTTTAGTCGCAAAGTGAAGATTCACGGGTAAAAAGCCCCAAACTTCTAGATAGGTTCTTTTTCAGCTTTCAGCAGCCCTGGGCGAGTTCTTTAGAGAAATGTGACTCTTTTTCATGGTGCTCTTGTCTATGTCCAGCTACCCAACAATATGAGGATGGTCATTGTCATTTTCTAAGCTGCGAACGGGCAGAAAGGTGAGAAAATGTCGGATTATGACCATTTGTGCTGACCTTTCAATTTCAGCGTACCTCTCTATAACATGACCCAGCTGAAATTTCAGTGGTCGCATTGGTTTCATTTTTGGTTTGCTTGTAGGGCGCTGCCACCCGCATTCCGTAACCCAGAAAATTTGGCACTGTTGTGAATAGTTTAGTCGCAAAGTGAAGATTCACGGGTAAAGAGCCCCAAACTTCTAGATAGGTTCTTTTTCAGCTTTCAGCAGCCCTGGGAAGGTTCTTAAGAGGATTGTAACTCTTTTTCATGGTGCTCTTGTCAATGTCCAGCTAACCAACGAGATGAGGATGGTCATTGTCATTTTCTAAGCTGCGAAAGGGCAGAAAGGTGAGAAAATGTCGGATTTTGACCATTTGTGCTGACCTTCCAATTTCAACGTACCTCTCTATAACATGACCCAGCTGTAATGTCAGCGGTCGCATTGGTTTCATTTTTGGGTTGCTTGTAGGGCGCTGGCAGCCACAATCATTGACCAAGAAAATTTGGCACTGCTGTGAATAGTTAAGTCGCAAAGTGAAGATTCACGGGTAAAAAGCCCCAAACTTCTAGATAGGTTCTTTTTCAGAGGTCAGCACAAATGGTCAAAATCCGACATTTTCTCACCTTTCTGCGCTTTCGCAGCTTAGAAAATGACAATGACCATCCTCATCTCGTTGGTTAGCTGGACATAGACAAAAGCACCATGAAAAAGAGTCACATTTCTCTAAAGACCATGCCCAGGGCTGCTGAAAGCTGAAAAAGAACCTATCTAGAAGTTTGGGGCTTTTTACCCGTGAATCTTCACTTTGCGACTAAACTATTCACAGCAGTGCCAAATTTTTAGGGTCACTGATTGTGGGTGCCAGCGCCCTACAAGCAAACCAAATATGAAACCAATGCGACCGCTGACATTACAGCTGGGTCATGTTATAGAGAGGTACGTTGAAATTGAAAGGTCAGCACAAATGGTCAAAATCCGACATTTTCTCACCTTTCTGCCCGTTCGCAGCTTAGAAAATGACAATGACCATCCTCATCTCGTTGGTTAGCTGGACATAGAAAATAGCACCATGAAAAAGAGCCACATTTCTCTAAAGAACTCACCCAGGGCTGCTGAAAGCTGAAAAAGAACCTATCTAGAAGTTTGGGGCTTTTTACCCGTGAATCTTCACTTTGCGACTAAACTATTCACAGCAGTGCCAAATTTTCTGGGTTACTGAATGCGGGTGGCGGCGCCCTACATGCAAACCAAAAATCAAACCAATGCGACCACTGAAATTACAGCTGGGTCATGTTATAGAGAGGTACGTTGAAATTGAAAGGTCAGCACAAATCGTCAAAATCCGACATTTTCTCACCTTTCTGCCAGTTCGCAGCTCAAAAAATAACAATGACCATCCTCATCTCGTTGTGTAGCGGGAGATGGACAAGAGCACCAAGAAAAAGACTCACATTTCTCCAAAGAACTCGCCCAGGGCTGCTGAAAGCTGAAAAAGAACCTATCTAGAAGTTTGGGGCTTTTTACCCGTGAATCTTCACTTTGCGACTAAACTATTCACAGCAGTGCCAATTTTTCTGGGTCACTGAATGCGGGTGCCAGCGCCCTACAAGCAAACCAAAAATGAAACCAATGCGACCACTGAAATTACAGCTGGGTCATGTTATAGAGAGGTACGTTGAAATTGAAAGGTCAGCACAAATGGTCAAAATCCGACATTTTCTCACCTTTCTGCCCGTTCGCAGCTCAGAAAATGACAATGACCATCCTCATCTCGTTGTGTAGCTGGACATAGACAAGAGCATCAAGAAAAAGACCCACATTTCTCTAAATTACTCGCCCAGGGCTGCTGAAAGCTGAAAAAGAACCTATCTAGAAGTTTGGGGCTTTTTACCCGTGAATCTTCACTTTGCGACTAAACTATTCACAGCAGTGCCAAATTTTTAGGGTCACTGATTGTGGGTGCCAGCGCCCTGTAAGCAAACCAAATATGAAACCAATGCGACCGCTGACATTACAGCTGGGTCATGTTATAGAGAGGTACGTTGAAATTGGAAGGTCAGCACAAATGGTCAAAATCCGACATTTTCTTACCTTTCTGCCCGTTCGCAGCTTAGAACATGACAATGACCATCCTGATCTCGTTGGTTAGCTGGACATAGACAAGAGCACCATGAAAAAGAGTCACATTTCTCTAAAGACCTCGCCCAGGGTTGCTGAAAGCTGAAAAAGAACCTATCTAGAAGTTTGGGGCTTTTTACCCGTGAATCTTCACTTTGCGACTAAACTATTTACAGCAGTGCCAAATTTTCTGGGTCACTGAATGCGGGTGCCAGCGCCCTACAAGCAAACCAAAAATGAAACCAATGCGACCACTGAAAAAAGCTGGGTCATGTTATAGAGAGGTACGTTGAAATTGAAAGGTCAGCACAAATGGTCAAAATCCGACATTTTCTCACCTTTCTGCCCGTTTGCAGTTCAGAAAATGACAATGACCAACCTCATCTCGTTGTGTAGCTGGACATAGAAAATAGCACAATGAAAAAGAGCCACATTTCTCTAAAGAACTCGCCCAGGGCTGCTGAAAGCTGAAAAAGAACCTATCTAGAAGTTTGGGGCTTTTTACTCGTGAATCTTCACTTTGCGACTAAACTATTCACAGGAGTGCCAAATTTTCTAGGTCACTGAATGTGGGTGCCAGCGCCCTACAAGCAAACCAAAAATGAAACCAATGCGACCACTGAAATTGCAGCTGGGTCATGTTATAGAGAGGTACGTT